TCTTATTATGAAATTAGACTGAATCGTCGGCGACACTTGGCCAGCCATCCTCCAGCTAACGCTCAATGAATGAAACCGAAATGAGAAATGAATGATATCATGGGCATTGTTAGCTGAGTTCCACTGCCATGCCCTGTACTCTTTCCCCTCTTTCATCCAATACCGATCCCTATCCCTATCTCTGTCCCTAAACCAAAAAAAAAAACCAAAGCCTGCGGGTCGGCCGGCCTGTCGATCCCAGGGACCGGGACAAACGAGAGATCAAATGCGATAGCGCCACGAAAACGAGCCACCAGCAGCAGCAGCAACAGCAGCAGCGGCAGCAGCAACGTGTTGCTCATTTAGCTGGCAGCCCAAACGCGGCCATAATTCAACGCTTTTGATAACTGCGTTAGGTTTTAGGCACCATCCCATCCTTGTCTTGAACGAGCAGCTCCTTTCGTTCCTCCTCGGCGGCGGCAGCAACAGCAGCGGTGACGGCCCAGGATCGGCGCGCGTCAGCACTTGGAGGGATCTGAAACTGAAAGGAGAAAAAATAAGAAAAAAAAAAAGAAAGCCAGAGTAAGCAGACACAGTGGTTGTCTTGGTTGGCTTTGCTGAAAGGAACAGTAAACGCAACTATGAAATAAAGTTTTCTTTATGTCTTTTTCTTTACGTTATAAATTTTCTAAGATTTTTGTAAATAAAAACAAGTAAGTATGGACCAACCTATCTTGTTCTTTGTGCATTTGAATAAATATTTGTATTTTTTAAATATTTATTTTATAAACAAGAAGACGTTGAGCTAAATAAGCAAGTCAATATGTAACTTAGTCAGCTAGCCAAAGTTCAAGATGGCTAAGTCATATATCAAAGTCTTATCTCAATCTAAAGTTAAGTGAGAAAGCTTAAAACTTTAAATATCTTTTTCTAGATCTTTCTTTTTGCTATCTTAAGGTGTCCCTGTTAGGACATTATTTTTGATACCCAATTTGGACATACCTAACCCACTGTACCTTCCGCTGGCCTGGCTGTACAATTTGATTTCGGTGTTTGCCTGGCGATTTGTTGTGTTTGATTTGCTGCCTCCGCTCGTCTTGTTGCCGTCTCTTGCTTCATCCTGGTGATCTCCCTACCCCTATCGCTCCACTACCACCCTCCTCCTTCTCCTCCTTCTCCTCCTTCTCCTCCTTCTCCTCCTCGTCGCATCCTCCCTCTCATGTCGCATTCCAGCATTGCCGCGCAGCGCTTACATTGTTCGCTTTTTTGTACTTCTCCTCTTTTTTCTCTTTTCGGTTCATTCAAATCCTTTCGGTAAAATTCTTTTGTTTGGTGTCAAGTTTAACAAATATTTGCGGCCTCTTGTCTTGTTTGTCCCATGTTCCTCGCGTGTTGCTGCCACACCGCCCTCCGCTCGCCGCTCTCCGATCCGTCATTGTTCATTGCCGTCTCCAATCGAAGTGGCTGCTGCCAGCGGTACATGCTATGTATATGCGGTGTATACTATGCCTGTGACATGGGGGCGTATGAGTAATCAGTGCCGCCCGCAATTAGTTGGCCTTAGGAGACTGGGCAAACTAGCGATTCAGCGATGAGTGAGAGTGAGTTGGAGTTGGAGTTGAAGTTGCAGGAGAAGGAGGAGGAGGAGAAAGAGAAGCAGGAGTAGCAGGAGATGTAGTGGGTATCCTGTCCTAGCCAAGACCGATTTGCTTCCCATGATTGCCACAAAGTTATTGCTGTTGTTGTTGTTGTTGTTGTTCTTGTTGTTGCAGTTGGTTAACCATTGTTGCAACTCTCTTATCAGTGGCTTTTTCGAGCCTTTGTGCGAAATTTTTGACTCCCCGCTGTGTGAATCGCACAAAATGCCACAAGAATTGCTGTTGCTGTTGCCGCTGCTGCTGCTGCTGTTGCTGTTGCCGCTGCTGCTGCTGCTGCCCCCTGGTGTGGCAGTAAAGAAGGCGTAGCGAGGCGGGGCAGGGTACTGGGCACTGCTAGCCAAGATGGAGACTTGCAACTGGACAAAAAGTGCCACTGCAGCAGCAACACCAGGGCCAAGCTGCAAGCTGCAAGCGCTGCAACAAAATGAAACCGTAATTGTTTGTTTATTATGGCTTTTGAGGAGTTGTTGTTGTTGCTTCTGTTGTTGTTGTTGTTGTTGTTATCGCATGTTATTGTTGCTGCTGCCGTTGTATTGTTAAATGTTAAAGTGCTACACAATATTTATATTGGCATTGTCTGTTGAAGTTGCAAGGCAGAAAAGTTTGCCACAAAGATCGAACGGCAAATGCTCTTGCCTTGAGGTTCTCAGAGAAGTTTAAACCTAAAAAAGAACAATTTTTTAGTGATTTTTTATGGTTAATTAAAGTAAAAAAAAGCAAATCTTAATCACTGACTAATCTTTTACCTCATACCCCTGAACTCCTCTTGCCAAAATAACCCATCGACCTCTACCAAAGAGTGTAACCTAAAGTGTAGAGCAGGCCAAAGATTACCATCGGGAGACACCCTCACCGACGCACAGAGGGGAACCCACCAGCAATGTGTGGCACTGCTGACACTTCAATGGAGCTGCTCCCCGTCGCCCCTTCCTCCTCTCAACTACGAAGCACTTCGTTGTTGCCTCATGCTGTGGCGCTATGCTGCGATTATGGCCACGGATTAACTTCCTCTTTTGGCCATCATCATTGTGGTTATTGTTTGCGGCAACTCTTGGCTGCTTGCTGCCTGCTCCTGCCACTGCCACAGCCGATTTCCGATTGCCGTTCGCTGTTGTTTTTTTTTCTTCTTTTTTTTTTTTTCTTTACCAGTATGTGTTGTTGGACTCACTCTTAATTATATCTAATTCGTATGAATCCCAAACCCCAACCGAACCCTTGCCGCCTCTTAGGCGCTGATTGCGCTTATCTTTCGATTACGGCGACGTGACTTGACGGCGATGGAAAAGCCCATGACTGGGGATAGGTTTCCCTTTGGAAATTAGCCTAGAACTATGCAATGATCTATGGCTATCTGATCAGTCATGCTATATATATTTATATATATAATATATAACAAATATATGTCATTGTAAAAACCCCTGGGGTTATGAGTAATAGCTTGGTAGATTTTGAGAGTTTAGAAAACTTTGGTTTGATATTTTGATTCAAGTGCTTTATAAAGAAGGTCTAAGAAGAAGTTTTTGTGGGCTTTTGGAAACTTGAAAAGATATATATAATCTGGTATATATACCTATATTCTTGATATCCCATAAAACTGCTTTAAAGTTCTTTCCATATCAAGTAAGTTTCAGTCAGTAACTTCTGCAAACTTTCACCTTCTTAAAACCCTAAAAACCTTCCTTAAAACATAGCTCATTACTGCTAGATTCTAGAGTCAATATTAACCTTTAAAATGACTTACATTTTGCTTACCTAAACCCCCTCCTAATACCACCCATTAACATATATTGATCTTCCAATATCAAGTAAGTTTCAGTCAGTAACTTCTGCAAACTTTCACCTTCTTAAGCCCTAAAAACCTTCCTCAGAACATAGCTCATTCCTGATAGTTTTTAGAACCAATATTAACCCTTAAAATCACTTAATTTTTTGATATTTAAACCCCCTCCTAATACCACCCTTTAACACATATCGATCATCGCAACTTTTAACCTTCTTCTGCACTCTTTTCTACCCTTTAACGTTGATGCCACATCTCGTACCTGGGCAGGTCTAACACCTTATAACACCCCATAAATCAAGTGCTTAACCGTTTTTAACGATCGCCGCATTTCGCAACCTTTTGGCTTATTTAACTTATTTTTTTTTAACTTTGGCTAAGCTCCCCTTTGGCGGCTGCTGAGCCGGCGGCAAGGTCAACTCGATATGCTTGTGCAACCCCTGACATTGAGCAATGTACGGGAAATGTGAGACGACGTTGGAGGTGGAGGTGGAGGAGGCAGTCAGTCGACTGGACAGGAAATGCTGGCCGAAATGACGTCTCACACTCTTTATGCAGCACTCTCTCTCCCTGTCTCTCTTTTTTTTACTCTATATCTATATAGATATAGATATAGATAGACAGATAGATAGATAGATATATTTTCACTTTGGCGTCGGCGTTGACAGTTTCATTTTCAGTTCAGTGAGATGCAAGACGAGAGTTTTCCCAGCAGCGCCGGCGTCGGCAAAGTAAAAACGGAACCCAAAAGCCGTCCGTCCGTTTTCGTCCCACCCCAACAATGCCCCCGGGGCCGTGTTAATAGAAACGTTTGTCGAATTCGACAGAACAGAGCGATGGACTACGCTGTCCAAGATCTAGCCAGCGACAAATTCCAGGGAACTCTCCATAAAAATAGCTAAACGTGCGCATGCAGGCCGCCCAGAACTCTTCTCTTCTTAGCTCAGCTCAGCTCAAAATGTTTCTCTCTGAAAAACGCTTCTCCCAAAAACACACACACGCTCATTCCATTTCATTTCATTTCAATCGGCTAAGGCAGGCATTCTTTTACTTCGATCTTCTTTTTTTTTTTTGCTGCCAAAAAAAAGGGAAATTCACTTTCATCTTTTGAATAGACAGCCGATGATGGTCGAGTAGGTTGAACAGCAAGAAGGAAGGATCAGCTGTATGTGTGTGTGTGTGTGGGTCCTTTAATGTCTAAATTCCTGAGGCTGATTCCTGATGTGTCATACCGCCCAAGAACTTGACCTGCTGCTGAGTCTGAGTCTGAGATCTCTCTCTACCAATCTCTATGTTGATCCTTTTTTTTCCCCTTCCCCCCGAGTCCTTTGTTCAATGCTAACTGTTTCGTGTTAGTCCTTTTCTTTCTCTCTCTCTCTCTTTAAGCTATTGCTTATTCACTCACACTTTGTGTGCCGTGTAAATATTTTCCCAGCATCCTGCAAACGTTTTGACAGTTTTTATTAGATCAAAAAACCGGCTACAAGTGGCGTGTGATAAATTGCGGCCAAAATGCAGCTAAGCAGGGGAGATGGGCCAACCCAGATATAGTCACACACACTCATACACACACACACACACAGGGGTGTTTTCGTTATAGAGTGTAAAGGAAATAGGGGTCCTCCTTGGGCCTAGAAGTAAAGATCAAGTGTCGCTCACTTGGCTTCCCTTTTATTGTCTGATGATAAGTCGTGACTTTAACACACACAGAAAGACACACACAGACACACACACTCGTGGAAACTCACGGGTTTTCCTCTATCACTATTGAGTGGCGGCAATTAGAGTCCTATTCCCTCGAGCATCACAAATCCGTTTAACGTTTATTGTTAAGAAAAACTAAAAAAAAAAGAGCAGTTAGAAAATTATTAATCCTTATCCCAACCCCTCTCCCTCTACTTACAGTTTTTAACCCTTTTTTGATCACTGCTTTTAGCCATAACCAAGTTGGTCATAACTCATCATCGACATTTGAGCGGAGAGCAGAGACTTGCCTTAGTGATTGATGAACTGCCAAAATGCCAAACTGCCAGGCACAGTCACAGCTCAAATATGCAGAATCCAAAACCCCAAATCAGGGGAACCCTTGCTGAGAACGTCTCCAAGCCAAAACCAAACTATTTGGCCAAAGACTTTTGTACTTTTGGAAATTTCAAGTCCACATAAACAAACCAAAATCCCTGAACCCCTTACCATTGGACAAACGAAACAAGTAAAGATGCAAAATTCAGCAGTCATTAGCAGGATGAATGCGGGTCTGAGTCGCTGTTTGAGCCATCACCGGAAACTGTGCCGCGGCATTGCCGAACTGGATTGCCTTATTTACAACGATGAGTTCCTTAAGGATCCCAGGACGCAATGGTTACTCCATCAACGAAGGCAAAGGGCAGAGGAGAAGGCCAAAGAAGAGGCCAAGGTCAGCTCCTTGGGGCGTATGGGTAGTGAGATGGGCCGCCTTCTGGGTCAATCGCCGGTGGGAAAGGTTAGCACTTCTTATCCCTTAACTTTGGTTCTTATATCCTAACATCTCCATCTTCCAGAGTAATCTCACCGTGAATCGTGCGTTTTGTCAACTTCTACAATCTACTCCTTCTGGCCTTCATCCTACCAAGTTAAGAAACCTCACAGGACCTCTGCCCGCTCGCACACCCGAGCCATCACCCGAAAGACGTCCCAGTTTCAAGTTTAGTGTTAGCCCGCCTAGTCCCGACAGGAAGTCAACCTCCAGAAGTAGTTTCTAGTTTCTATAAGTTAGTCCTAAGAGATTTCTTAAGAGATCTTCTAGAGATCTTCTAGAGATCTTCCTCCAAATCTATCACGGATCTATCAAATATCATATAGATCTCTGACAGATTGGCGGCATTTCTCTATAGAATCTCTTTGAAAATCTTTAAGCTGTGATCTCCCAAGGCGAGACTCGAAGTTAAATCCCACACATCATGGGATGCAAACTGCTGTATAGGAATGTGGCTGGCTGTAGCAGAAGGTGGAGTAGAAGAAAGAAGAGAAGGTGGAGAAGGAGGAAGGTGTTGGTGCAGATCTGTACCAGCAACAGCTTCAACCTCCGTTCGGTATCCGTGCTGCTCTCGTTATTGTTATGAATAAGTTAATAACATGGCGGAAGGCTTCTTTTGTCGTGGCCCAAACAAGCAACAACCTGGCAGGCAGCGCTTATTAAATGATTGAAGCCTTTGGTGGTGGGGCAATGATGGTGGGACTGAGACTGAGACTGAGACTGAGACAGAGACTGAGACTTGGACTGGGACATGGACTTGGCCAGAGAGTTGGACTCAAGCTGGGGGCCCCCATAAAAAAGGTGGAAACCTGGTTCTCTGTTTTTGTTGTTGTTGTTGTTTTTTGCCTGCCTGGTCTTTTGTGGTTTTTTCCCTTTTTTTTGCCGTCCACCAGCGACCACCATCAATAACAGAGCCCGGCGACGGGCCCGGGCCATATTTATGATTTGTTAAGCAACGCCGAACGTGCGAAAGGATAATCACAAGCGCCTGCTGGCACGCCCCCCTTGCCTTCTGCCTCCTTCCTCTTTTTGTGTTTTTTTTTCCTTTTTTTTTTTTTTCTTCCAAGGGGTCGTCTTTTTTTTTTTTCGTCGTGTGTGAGGCATTTCCAAAATTGAGTCAATGACTTTTATTTTTACGACTCGCCCTGGAGAGTGGAGAGTGGAGAGTAGTCAGTCAGTCAGTCAGTCAGTCAGTCATCTCCATGCTGGACCTGACAGAACCTTTTGGCCTAAAACTAACCCCATTCCCTGGCTTTTATGGCACTGCGAATTGAGCTATTAGAATGAGGAGAGTGACCCCGCCACCTGTCTTTCACATCCACTCGAACTTTGACCACCAGCGTTGGTTAACGCCTCTTCAATCCGATGGCCCATCCCTTAACCCAAAAACATTGATACCAATCTTGTCCACTTCACTCCATCGACAACAATTATGTACTACAGAAATTTGTACAAATCATTTTGCTGTTTCGACCTCCAAAGGTGTTCCTCCTGCTTAGCAGAAGGGGGATGAGGGCAGGGCAAGGCTGTCTCACAGCTGTAAGGATAGCAGGGCGGGGACTTTGACACGATCGCAGGACTAGCCAGCGGTTAGGGAGGAAGCATCTCAACCAAGAGCTGTGAAAATTCTTGGCATCTTTAATGAGCGCCGGCTTATCAATGGCCTCCACCGCTTCATCCGCTCCAGATCCCATAACCCATTCCCATACCTTTAGCCATAGCCATAGCCATACCCATACCCATACTCATACCCCTACCCATACCCATTCCCAATCCCAATCTCAGTCGCAGTCTTCTCTCTGATTGTTAACCTTTGAATCGGCGCATTAAAAAACGTTAACAAGCTGCGTAGCGCCGTCGGCGGCGTTAATGTCGAAATTGGCGCTGGCCCAGGAATGGCCAAGATCGGGTGGTTAAGGAGTGAGGGAGTGCTGAAGCTGAATCAGGAGGTGGGAGGGGGGCAAGGAAGAAGACTGTATGCCTTCGAAGACTGGGACGAACGTGTTTCTTAATGAAACAAAGCTTGAATTTTAAATGAGCATCATAAAGAACAATGAAAATGCAAGGAACAGCAACAACAAAGCGAGACCGGCAATCCAACGATCCAGCGATCCGCCGACCGTTCGATGGACAAATGGTAAACGAGATGTGCTGGAAGGGGGGAGGGTTGGGGTTTAAGACGCGCGGACAGCGCGAAATAAAAGCGCAGAAATGTTAAATAAACAATAAAAAACAATCCGCAGCTCTCCTTGCGGAGTCTGTCAAAGTCTGGCCAGCAGCGGATTAAACGCGGCTCCCAGCACAGAGAGAGCGAGAGAGACTCAACCGAGATGGATATGGCCAGGCGATCCCCGCGAAACTCCCCTGAAGTTGCCCCTCTCAATGCCCCACTAATCTTATCCACAAAACGAGCCGCAACAAGACCCAAATCGTAGCAGGCAGGAGGAGAAGTTAAGGAGGTAGCGATGATCTTTTGACGCGCCGAATAGGGAATACTCTGCCTGGGGAATATTGAAAGAATTTAATGAGATTTGTTTTTAAGTAAAGTAAGTAAGTAAGTGAGTTGGTTAGTTACTTATAAAGTTAGTAGTAAGTTAGTTGGTAAGTAAGTAAAGGAGGAATTGAGTAAGTAACTAAGTTAGCAAGTTAGTAAAAAAGGAAGTAAGTAAGGAAGTAAGTAAGGAAGTATGAAAGAAAGTAAGGAAGTATGAAAGAAAGTAAGAAAGTAAAAATAAGTAAGTAAAGAAGTAAATAAATAAGTAAGTTAGTTAGTTAGTTATTAAGTTAGTATTAAGTTAGTAAGTAAGTAAGTTAGTAAGTAAGTTAGTAAGAGTAAGTAAGTGATGTAGTTAGTAAGTGATGTAGTTAGTAAGTTATTAGTTAGTAAGCAGACAAGTAATAGAAAAAAACGTAGTTACTTCTTGTCTGATTACGATGCGTAATTCACTTTTTAACCTTTTTATACATTTTAGCTTATTATTTTTACCTTTTTTGCATATTAAACTTGAAGAAAATTATAAAAGTTAAGAAAGAAATCTATATATTAAGTTGTTTAGTGTTAAGTTTAAGGTGTTAAGCTGTATATAAAAGGGGAAAGTGTTACAAAAATGTCAAAAAGATTCTAATGACTTAAAGAAGATTACCAACAAAGCTTTCTATGAATATTGGTTAGGAAATGGATTTGCTAAAAGTACATTTCTGGGATAATATTTTCAAGTTGTTTTTCAAAAATTTTAAGAAGATAATGATAATAAGATAATAATAATAATAACCATAATTAACCATAATAATAACCATAATAATAACAATAATAAGAACAATAATAATCATCATAACAATAACCATAATACATTCCATTTTTACATATTGATATTACAACATTTAATGTAGCTCAAGTAGAAACTTTTTGATTAAGTAAATATATTAGGTTGTCAAAAAAGTCTTGCGGTATTTTCGCTAGTTGGCGCTAAAAGCGCGTAGTTCTATATTATTACTCTCAAAAACTAGAAACAAGACATTACCTATAACCTTAATCCATATTACATACATCACAGTGGTCTCATACATTATTTCATACATATTTTGATGTATATCAGACATCATATATTGGCTTTCAGTAAACGATTTTAAGAACCTTCAATTTCTGGGACTTAAAAATGAATTGGTGTTTAAGGTATCAAAAAATGTTTAGAAGTTTGTATAAAAACTTATTAATAAAACTTTAGTTTGTCTTTCAATTCACCAATAAGACGTTACCTTGTCTTTAAAAACCTTGTCTTTAAATCTAAAAAAAAAATCAATAGGTAATAATATAATTTTCCCCTTAAAAGCACTCGAAAGAACTTTGGATTTGAATCAATTTTAGGAATCAGAAAGTGCTGAGAAGTTTGTATAAAAACTTATTAATAAAACTTCAGTTTGTCTTTAAATTCACTAAAAAAAAGAGCTTTACTTTGCCTTTAAAAATATCTAAATAATGTAATAAATTCAAAAGCGAATAAAAAAGCAACTTTGAATTAGAATCAATTTTAAGAATCGGAAAATATTGAGAATTTTCTACATAAACTTACTAAAAAAAACGTTTAATTTGTCTAAAAACTTACTAATATACTTTATTTCATCTTTAAAAACTCTAATAAATTCCATAAATCCAATAGCTAACCACATTTTTTTCCCCCATCAAAATCAACTTTAGCCCAACTGCCTTCCTAAAAGCCTTATACCCTCTCTCTCTCAAAGTTAAAGCAGGGCATCTCCAGCGATAATCATGTGGGTTGGGGATGTAAAACTTTTGCCGTCGCCGCTTAAAGGATTCGCAAATGATGCTGCGGTCAAAGATGAAATGAAACGGAGATCCCAAAAAAGGAACGAACAAAAAGGGAAGGGGGAAGGAGGGTTAAGAGGGAGGTTAACCATAGTTGAGTCTCGCTGTGGTGCTGGCCATAATTGGTGCTCATCTTAATGGCATTAAAATTGCATTATCGCTGTATTTATTGAAACGGTTTGTTTTAACAAGATTAACTCGACGATACCGACAGCAACAACAACAATAAAGACAGAGACCACAAAATGATTAACAGCAAAAAGCCGCCACAAAAAAAAGCAACAACAGCAACAGCAACAAGAAAAAACAATAAAAAAAAAAATGTAAAGAAAAAGAATGAGAAAACGACGATCAGAAAAAGAGCGTTAAAATACGTGATATTTATGTGGTTGCTGCCGCTGCCGCTGCTGCTGCTGTTGTTGTCGCTTGATTGGCCCAAAATCATTGTTGTTGTTGTTGCTGTTGTTTCTGTTGTTAAGGCCATAAAATATTTATAACATAATTTCATATCATTTTTAGATGATTAGATTCAATAAGGCAGCTGCTGCTGCTGCTGCTTCTGCTGCTGTTTCACAGATACTTTTTGTATCTTTTTTAAAAGGAAGCTAATCCTGAGACAGGAGTCGCATAGCATAGCATAGCATAGCATAGCCGCACATTCACATGGCTGACTCAGCTCGATGACGCCCATATGCATTCCCAGAACCCTAGTAGAAAGAACCCTAGCCAAAGCCAAAGCCAATCAAACGATCGATCGATGATCCAATACCCTTCCCAGAATCTCTCATAATTATTATTTATGCATACAAATTAAAAGCAGAGCGCAGTTTTTGGCCAAAGCAGAAAGAAATCCGATCAAAGCTTTTATTTATGGCCCCCGCTTCTCGCTCTTTTGGCTTAATTTCATCAGGCTCTGAAATGCCAAAAAAAAAAACGAAAAAAAAGAAGAAGAATGCGTATGCCGCAGGGCTAGCCAGATACGGATTGCTTTCCATTTCGAAATTACCGTTAGGCTCAATCTGTCTGAGATATCAAAAAGGGCAGCAGTAGCCTATCATCATCAGCTTTACCCCTTTTTGGGCTTATCAGTTTCCATTACAAATACCCTTTTAATTCTGGCTTAGCCTAAATCCGTTGCCAAGGGCGCTGTCCCCACCCCCCACCCAACCTATCTTAACCAAAAAATCTAGATCTGACGCAGCCAGGCCAGGCAGTGATAAGCCACAGTCAGTGATCGTGCGTCAGCGGCAACAATTAAATAGATTGAATGCGGATTGCGGCGATTTATGACCTGGCATCACCTGGGTACTCAACACTCGACACTTGGCACTCGACACTTGGCATTTGGCATTTGCAATTGATTGTCGTTGTCGTTGTCGTCGTCGTCGTCGTCGGTGTTGGCCAATTAAACTTATTGCCTGCCTCGTACTAAATGAAATGTCAAATAAGTTAATTAAGCAATGCTAAGGGATGGTCAGGGTAGTCAGCAGATGGAAATGGAAATGGAAATGTTTATAGGGATAAGAGCAGGCTAGTATAGGACGAGCCTCCTCTACCGGTTACGGGGGCGTGTTGCCCCGATAAGGCTGACAATATAAGATAACACCAGACGACCTTGTTGCATCAGCCAACTATATCTCTGCCGGTGGCGCGTTTCCTGCACAGTCTAGATAAGATACTTATATTTAAGCCTTGCAATCAAATCAATAATAATAAAAAAAACAAGAGGAAACGCTATAGTCGAGTGCCGCGACTACAAGATACCCGTTACTGTTTTACACAATTTTAAAATATTAATTTTGCTAGTGGAAATTCACAAGGCGCCACCTATTGTCAGAGGAAGTATGTTGAGTATGCTTATAGTGACGTCACTGCCCATGTGGAGCCTTATAACCTTAATTTCTTCATAAATAGCGAAATAATGTTCCGATTTGAAAAATCTTTTGTAAATCGATAGATATTAACAGAAATAAGT